CTCCTGCTCTTCTCCCTCTATGGTCCCAGGGTTCTCTGCTCCTAGACTGCAAGATAAACCACTCCCTTCTTGTTGTTACAAAATGTCTACCTTTACATTTGCAACAATCACAATCAGTTCTGATAATAATTACTCACTATTGAACCACAGGGAGTCTTATCCCCGTCTCCTTTCACCAGCCCTGTCTAGACAGGTTGACAACCACTCAGTGGAGATTCTATCTTCCTTCATACCCTCTGAAACTAAACTCCCTCTTGAAAACTTGTAAGCCAGTCACTTTGTGCCTTTATAACCCCCCTCCCCCTCCCATTTTAGGTAGTCTTAGTTGCCCATCCCTGTCAACCCTGTGTACAGAGGAGGTGGAAATGATCCTTGCTGTAAAGATTCCTTCCCTTTTGGTTGGTATTTTAAGCTACTACATCCATAAGTATAGGTCAAGTTCATCAAGTTATAGTGGATTACACTTTTTTTCTCTTCTTTCTTCCTCTAGTAGAGTTCTGATCATTCAGTCATCGAAGCTAGGTCATCTGGGTACTATCTGCAAGTTTGGGCATTCTTGTGCATCTCCCCTCACTTCATATCAGCTGGACACTAAACTCTCCTCTCTAGTTTTTGAAGGAGTTCTCACTGAATATCCAGTACTTGTGGATAAATAATGCTTTAACCTTGTAACCAAAATAACATCAAAGGGTTTGTTTTGAATATCTAATGGCTGATTGAGCAATCATGGAAATAGACTGTGAATAGTTCTGTTTACTGTGCTATATTGCCAAAAAGTAAGGGTATATCAGAATGAACTTAATGCTAATATAAAGAGACAACCTGAAGCTGCCTTTTGTCATTTTAAAGTAAAAACCTAAATCATATCAACAATTTAATTTTGTGTTTTTCACTCAGGGAGCTAACAGGATGAGAGGCCGGCTTGGAAGCATGGAGAGCTTTGAAAGATCCAACAGTCTTGCTTCCGAGAAGGTATCTAATTGGAGCTCCCCTCATTTTTCTTTTTAAATACACTTTAGGAATTTAGAAAAAAACAACAAAACCCAACACATATGTAATAATATGCATGCTTACTTATCTTATTTTGAGCTCTTTGTAGCCTTTTAAAAATATAAATATTTTAAGCTTTATTTACACAAACATTTTAGAAAGTTCTGGATATTAACATCGCATTCCTTTTTCAGCTGAAGCGTCCTCTCATTGGGTTAAAATACGGCTTTTATAGGTTGCTATATACTCTATCAGCCTTTTCACTGTTTGTAACTCTTATGCTATGGAAGACGACAGTATTTGAGCAGCTCAAAGCCATGAAAAAAGAGCCAACTGCTGTTTGTGTTTGTACAATGATCTGTTTTTCTTTTGCTATCTCCCCATATTATACCCCACCACCACCAGTTTTTTTTAACCTTTTCAATTCTAACATTAGGTTCTTCATTATTTCACAAACTATTGTTAGTAGGTTTAGTTTCCTGTTGATTTGTTCTGACAGAAAACATCTAACACGAAGGCATATGAAGCACTCATATTTTTAACAATAGAAAAAAACAAACATTAAAATATCTTTATTAAATTTTCTGTTGATGGAATTGAAGACTTAGTTCACCTATGATTCTAACCCATGTTTATCAAGCTTAACATTTCTAAACTGCTGTCTGTTCTGGAAATTATAAGCGGCACACCTGTTTAAGTGGAAAGATTTATTATGTTTACTCATGCAATATCAGATGCATGCCAGCATAGTGCACTTTTCATTCATTTCCTGTTTTTCATGGTTTAAAAAAAAAAAAATTACTTCAGGCAATATATAGTAGGATAGGAACCTCCATAGTGAAGGAGGATACTTAACAGGCCATTCTTTTCCTGATGGTTTTGCCATGAGACCTGGGCACTTAGGCAATGTCACATTGTTTTGATAGTACAGGAAGCATGCAGCTGATATGTCACGGAAATTAGTCGCTGCATAAACACAGACTCCACCTTCTTTTGGTCACGATCTCTTTTCAGTTCTGGCAACGGAGAGAGGTACAGTAGCTATAGCATTTTACCACAAAGTGTCAGGAGAAAATAATACCTTTTCTTATCACCCCCTTTCTCTCTCTGGCCTATCTGTACGGATGCTGTCATCCAGCTGCTTATCACAAGAAATGGGTTGTGGTAATACTGATTAGCCATCAGCATGGATTGAGTAAAAAAAGAAAAAAAAAAACAAAAAAACGAGAATTGTCATGACTCAGGAAGAAGAAGAGGCCTCTCTGTCACGTCTGAGCTGAGTGCTTCAGCAGGTCTGCTGCTATGATCCTTGTGGGAAAGGAAGATTTCCCTTCTGCTTGCTTTTCAGGACTACTCCCCAGGGGACTCCCCACCAGGGACACCACCAGCCTCCCCGCTCTCCTCAGCTTGGAGCACGTTCCCTGAAGAAGATTCTGACTCCCCACATTTCCGAAGACGGGCACACACATTCAGTCACCCACCTTCAAGCACAAAGAGAAAGCTGAACCTACAAGATGGAAGGGCACATTGTGTCCGCTCCCCTCTCCTGAGGCAGAATTCCAGCGAACAGTGCAGGTGAGTCCCAATCTGTCTCCAAGATGTGAAAAGCAACTCTCTTGTTACTGTTTTGATGATTGTGGAGTAAAGATTCATTGTGATTTGATACTCTACCAACATTTAGAACTTTGAAAGAACATAAAACTGAATTCTAACAGCTTCAGTCACTAAGAAACAAGGCAAGATTTAAGGCACATCTGAAGAGAATAGTTTGATTGATGAAATGTCCCCTATCCCCCCACCTAACTTTTTATCCAAAAAATAAAAACAATCAAATGTCATGCAATTGTTTTGTCTGCAAACTTGCTGACAACAGCAGTCAGTCAGTGTCTTCATGATGGCAGATATAAAGAAACAGAGTCAGCACATTCTAAAGTAACGTAACAGAGGAACTTCCTGCTAGCTTAAATTACTGGCTTATAGTATCAGGGGTGACAAGTCACCTAAGTTGACTTCACACAGGGGATGATATTTGGCTGTATTTTACTATACTTGTATAGTTATTAAAAGTGAAGTATGAAAATCATTTATTCTAGAGAAAAAAATTTCTCTAGAATAAAGCGGTACAAATAAAGAAAAATACGTATATGATAATTGACAGCAGTGTCCCTATGAAATGACTTTACATGTTTTGTAAAAAATAATATGGCAAAATTACTTGGGATTTAGTGAAACATAGTAAAAGGGGTTAACCTGGAACTGTAGTATGACTCTCCTTATTTTGCAGTACAAATCAGAATTTATATCCAAGGACTAATTGTGTTTCTCTTCCTAATCTATGAGTTTGATGTAGGAACTGTGAGTCTGATAAGAATGCCAATTGGAGAAAAAAATGGAACTCTAAAAAACAGAAGACTAGTTTCTATATCTGTTATCAAATTCACAGCTTTTCCTTTAAGGATGCAAATTTTATCCTCAGCTGTTTTATGGAATGATTTGATATAAAATAAGATACTTAAGACATATAAACGTAGAATAAATCAATAGAATAAAGTATTTCTAAGACTTCCTTTTTTGAAAGTGATTGAGTATTCATATATAGAGAACACTGTTCTATGATCAGTACACTTATATTTTACTCAAGGCACTAAATCTCATCTTTTTCAGGAAAATTATTTTAAATAATTTATAACACCAGTTATTTTAGACTATAAATTACATCCTTATTCTTCTCTATCTTTTCTGCTCTACCAAATGCATTTTTTATATTAGTTCAGACCATTTTATATCAATATAAGAAGATGCTATTTGCATTATTGTAAAACTTTGCTAGGAAAAGATTCCTCAACAGAGAACTCTGGTTAAAGGTATAGCAGCATTATCCATTGGCTTTTAGAAAAAGCATGGGTCTGAATTTTGTCAGCTAATGATATAATGATTTCCAACAATCAGATATGTGGTTCTTGGATAATTTAGAATAAAGGTTTCTATCTTCAAAATAATTAAGTCTTTGAACTACTGACATCAGGTTTTCCTTCTGGAACTTGTTGCCTGTAATTATGTAAAAACGAACAACTTGTTGACATAAAATTGTTTAAAAATTTTTTTTAGAGACAAATACCTATGATTAGAAATAATGCCTAACTAAGCATAGTTGTGAAAGAGTAAAGCTAGGCTATAGCATCTCAATATAGAAGTGCATGTTCTTTATCTCACTGTCCCCCAAATAATACCTAGCCATGATCCTTTCAAAGAAAGATTAAATATAGCAAGAACCTGTTTATATGCTTTTTCATAGTGAATGAAGATTTTGCCGAACTATAAATTAAGACAAATTTGCTGTATTTTCTGTACTCAGCATTCTTCCATCAGTTCGACGCATGCACAAGGAGAGTAATTCTTCCTCCAGTCTTCCAAGTCTTCACACTTCCTTGTCTGCCCCTTCCTTCTCTGCCCCCTCTTTCCTGAAAAGCTTTTACCAGAATTCAGGTAGACTGTCCCCACAGTATGAAAATGAAATCAGGTGAGATCAGTGTCCTCTGATTTGCAAAGCAATCAATTTTTTGCAGTGATATACTGATATGTTACTAAAAAGTGGCTAATTAATGTTGGAGTGGCATTTATGCATCTCTGTGTTGTGCTTATTTTAATCTGTTTCTAATACTGGTGTCAATTCCAATTAATTTCAGTCCGAGAATTTTTCTAACCTGTAGTTTCAAAACTTTGGAATGATGTAGTTAACTTACTTTTTGAATTACATATTTTTTAGTACTACTTGTTCATTGCTTTGCTCAAAGAAATCTCAAAGTCTACGTTTTGTTTTGCTGAAACATACCAAGCAAAACATTTTCTGATCATGCTGCTGTTAACCTCCTTGAACAATCTATTGGAACCCACTGATTTAAACGACTGCACTAAGGTGATGGATCCAATATATCTTTATTATTATTAAAACATTTCCTAGGCATGTCTTTGACATTTCAATGATATGAATTTCCTTTTCTGAACCTCAGTATAAGTCATATAATGATTATAGGATCATATTAAAAGTAACTGTTTCAGCTATCATGAGGAATCACTTTGAGCCTTACGTAAATTTCATTTTGTTTAGTTTTTATGCTCATTATTGATAATGAATAGACTATTAAATTTTATTGCTTGCTTTTTTAGCTACACAACAACTAGATATGATGTTTAAAAATGTTTTTGAGAATTGCCTCTTTTTAAAATTTGAAATTATTTATCAGTTCTTACTGAGGAGTTGGTAGCCTTTGGAAAGTGATGGGCTAAGTGGAAAGTCTTACAGAGGAGTATCTGGTGGCTTGGTAGTTTTGTGAGATTCAGTCCTACTTCAGTCTGCATGTTTGTGAAAGTGTGTGTGTAGCCTCAATTCATTCGTTTTTATTGCTGTACATATTCCATTTGATACTCTATAATTTATCCTTTGTTTTGCTGATTGACCTTTGTGTTGTTACTAATTGTTCAGTAGTTGGGCAGTTTTTATCCAAGAGAGTAATACATGTGGCCAACCAGCCTGTGTGCCACTAAAATCTTCTTGGGTTTTAGGAAATCCTAAAAGTTAGTATGTAACTTGGTAATGATGAGTAACTATTTAAATTAGACCAATTCGTGAAATATCTCTGAGTTTTTTTGTCCATATGTGCCAATTTTTTTCAACTCTAGGAAATATGACTAATATTGGATTAATATAATTTTAAATCTAAACTTTTCTCTGCATTAGTACTAAGTCATATTCAGAAAATAACTTTTATTTATAATGAAGAAAGTTGTTGAAGAAATGTCTGTAAATTTTTTTCCCATCGTTCTGATCGGGGTCACAATGGATGGACCCTGATGGAATGGGAGAAAAAAATGGAGCAAAATTCAAATTCATAGAAAGTTCAGACTTACTGGACCAGTTGAGACTAGAAGACTCCCTGAGACCAGCACTCCTAGATGCTTTTTTTAACCTTGAGCTGAAACTGTCCTCTGAGGTCATCACCTTTTAGTGATACAACAGATTGATGCACGAAATAAGGGGTATTACCTATGAGTCCTGGTGTGGTGCTGTGGGATAGAGCATTGGATCACAAGGTCCATTTGAACTGCAAGGTCCGTGGTTCAAACTCCCCAGCTGCTACTCAGAAACCCTATATAGGATCGCTATGAGTCAGACTTGATTCTATGGCTTAACAACGGCAACTACCTGTGAGTACAGTATTCCATTTTAAAACCATCCTGGTGTAGTGCTGTAGGATAAGCACTCAAACATTAGGTCGATTTGAACTTCAGGGTCAGCAGTTCAAACTCACCAACCACTTCTTGGAAACTGTGAATTGGAATTTGAGACCAAAATGTCAACAATATGAGACCAAAATGTCAACAGTGACTCAAAAGCAAAAATGCCAGGGCCCAGAAACCAGACCCCTGGAGACAGAACAATCAGAACACAATTAAAGAGAATGTTGACTCATTGTGAAAAATATAACTAAATGTCACTGGACAATTTTTATAGACAAGTGGGAATCTATATTTTCTGTGTCAACTTTCACCCAAAACACAATAAAACATTATTTTTAGCAAGTTTTTTAAGGGATAGCTTTATGGGAAAAGATTTAAAGGGCCATAATAGGAAGCTAACCACAAAAATAGTATGTATATATAATGTGCAATGACTTTAGAAAACCCAGAGTTTACCCATATAACAGATAACAGTTTGCCTTTTTTCTATAGCACTACCAAGCAGCCCTGGTGGCCCAATGGGTTAGGCATTGGTTAGTCAAAAGACAGGCAATCAGAACCTACTAGTTGCTTCCCAAAAATAAGATGAGGCAGTCAGATTCTGTAAAGATTACAGCCTCAAAAGCCTTTGGGGGCAATTCTATTCTGTAACGTCTCTATGAGTCTGACTCCATTCCTTGGCAGGAGATCAGGTTAGGTTAGTAGTACCAGGATCCCTGGGTGTTGTATATGGTTAACTGTTTAACTCTTGACCAAAAGCTTAGTGGTTCAAACCCATCAAGAGATGCCTAGGAAGTAGGACCTGGTGATCTGCTTCTGAAGGTCACAGCCTTGAAAATTCTATGGCTCGTTGGTTCTACTCTGAAACACATCAGATCACTGTCAGTCAGAATTGACTCTAACAATGGTAAGTGCCATCGAGTCAGTTCTGACTCATAGTGACCTTGTATCTGGTTTCCAAGGAGTGACTGGAGGGTTTGAACTACTGACCTTGCAGTTCAAACTGCCCTTGAAGTACAGTGCTTATTCTATAGCACCACACCAGGACTCCCTATAACAACTGGAAGGTTTTTTTGTTTGTTTGTTTTGTGTGTGTGTGTGTGTGTGTGTGTGGTGTTTATAGCACAACCCTTCACTAAAAAGCCATTTTCAGTCAAATCCATTTGCAGTTTCTTCTTGTTATGTTGGTTAAACTCAGTAGCTGCAGAATCCAGTTTCCTTTGAGATAGAACAATCCCTGAAAGTGACAATTAAGAAGGCCAAAGGTTAGTTATGGACAGACTGTAGGATATAAAAATAGTGACTTCTTTTTTTTAAAAGAAGTAATTATTTATTTATTTATTATTACCTGTGAGTCCTGGTGTGGCACTGTGGCATAGAGCATGTTTTAAAACTCTATAAAATGTAAAGCTATATAGATATATCTTTAATAGTTGCTTGCATTATTCTTGCTAATAGCTTCCTATAACCCCCTATACCTCATTCTGATAGAAAGACATGGAAGCCAGAGGGCAAGTATACAATAATTTTTCATTGCAAAATTTCACCATTTTATAGCTATTTTGGGAGTCCTGGAGTGGTGCTGTGGGTTAATGTGCTGGACTGCAAAGTGGATTTGAACCGCAAGGTCAGCAGTTCAAGCTCACCAACCGCTGCTTGGCAACCTTATACAGGGTTGCTATGGGTCAGAACCAACTCGATGGCACTTAACAACAACATAGCTAACTTGAGTGGATTACAAACTGGGCTGCTAATTGCAAGGTCAGCATTTTAAATCTACCAGTTGCTCCTCAGTAGATAGATGAGGCTTTCTGCTCCTATAAATATTTACAGCTTCAAAAACCCTTATGCTGGGTCGCTGTGAGTCGGAACTAACCGGACGGCACACATCCATTACCACTACCACCACCGTAGCTATCTTGTTTAAAACTCTGTCTTTAAACATGTGTAGAATGTTTGCATTTGTTGGTGTTGTTAAGTGCCGTCGAATTGGTTCTGACTCATAGCAACACTGTATCTGGTTTCTGAGGACCAGCTGGTGGGTTTGGAACCGCCAGCCTTGTGGTTAGTAGTCCAGTGCTTATCCTACAGCACCACACCAGAACTCCAAGATCATTAAAGATAAACTTCTTTGCTCTGAGAAATTCTAAAAAACCAGAGAGTAATATACTTTCCATGTGTGTAATTTGACTGCAGAACACCAACAGACTCAAAATATACTTTGAACATTGAGTTTCATTGAACTGTACACTAGTCATGAGCATCTAGCTCCATGCATTGTCACAGGGTGGATACACTCAGTTAACCACCACGTGGTTATGAGGGAAATGTCCCAGAAGCCCAGTTGTTTTTAGTGCTGTTCAGTCAGTTCCGACTCATAGATACCTGGTATAGGCTTTCCAAAGGGCCACGGGTGGGTTTGAGCCACCGACCGTGTGGGTAGCAGTCCAGTGCTTATCCTGTAGCACCACACCAGGACTCCAGAATCCCAGTTGTTACTAAGTGCTCGTAAGTCAGTTTCATAGTGACCCTGAATAGGGTTTCCAACAAGCAGCTGTTGGGTTTAAACTGCCAATCCCATAGTTATCAGCCCAGTGTTTATCCTACAGTGCTGGCTACACCAGAACTCCAGTAATGCTCCTCATTTTGCCAACTAATCCCTGCCCCCATCTCGGCCTCAAATACCACAGTTTCATTTTGCTTGGGTTTGTGCTTCATATACATATAATGACACAGCATACATTCTTTGGTATCTGGCTTCTTTTACTGAACATTAATTTGTAGATTCATTCTTGTTTCTACGTGTAGCTTTAGTTCATTCATTGATATTGCTGTATATTATTCCACTTAGTACATCACAGTTTATCCATTCACTTGCTGTTAGAAATGTGGGTTGTTTCTAGACCTTTTTTTTTTTCACTACTAAAATAGTACTTCCTTGGATATTATCCAACATGTCTTTAATTGTATGTGCATATATGCATTCTTTTTTCCCCACATATGCATTCTTTTTTTTTTTT